CTTGAAGACTGGAAGAATAATAGATGTCTTCCATGAGTCAGGAAAGAAACCGCTAATAAGATAAGCTGAGAATAATGACTGTGCCTATGCTTAAAGTGCTAATTATAGTAATCATACTTGCTAAAATCAGTAAGTGGCGTGTACGTACATGAAGGAACTTTTTACCTAGTATAAAGTCGTGACGTATAGTGGGATTTTATTAAGCTAAAGGATTAAAGAAGCGTGTAGTAAATGATCGTTGCAGATCTAACATGCAGTTTAGTTTAAGGTTTTTCTTCTGTCTTTGAGATTTTGGAAGGCGCTACCACTTAACCCAATTTTTATAATTGCCTGTAAAATTGTGATCAATAAATAAATTACAGAGACCTGGTTTCAGGCCGACGTAATGTATCTCGAAATTTTACCCGGCGACTATCAGATATTTCACCGGAAACAGCTACACGCAAGAGTGTAATCAACCCACTGGAATTTAAAATCAACGAAATATTATGGCTAAAACTGACGATTTTTGGAGAACCTACTCTATATTTCCTTACTTTTTGCAGATAACCTTGTCAAACTCCAAAGTTTTGTGAGGCCATGTTTGGACTAATGAAAGAAATTGCAATAAAACGAAGACGCGCTGGTACCTTGAGTTTTTAGCACACTATTAATCGACTGGTACAAGTTATCAGTAGAAGGTTCGCGGGAGCCGTTTAGCTCCAGCCTATTACACTTAGCAATGACTATGTTTCTCGTGCAGGATGTTAGATTTTCAACGAGAGTCATATGGGCACAAACAGCGGACTGTCTCGACCTCGCGCTTTCGAAAGACACAATTGATTTAGATAAACTCCGGCCCACTACGCCACTTAGAAAGGGAAACCATCTCATACTTCTGTGGGTATACAGTTTAACCACACAGCAAAGTTAAAACACAGAGTTTTATCTGAATAACTGGTATGGGGATTCCCCCACGATGAGAAGTGCACTGCCGATATTAAACTGGCACAGTATGGTTACCAGTTGTCCAGATTAGAATTAGAACATTCACAGAAGGCATTAGGAACAATGTTATGCATCGCAACTTTCCACTGAAAAACGTACAAAAGGTGAGCTGGCCTACTTGGTTAACGCGAGATTTGAAGAGCCATATAAACCGAAAGAACAAACTCTAGAAATGGTACATAACAGCAGGTAGACCCTTGTACTAAGAAGAATTTCCTCAATAGCGGCAGGAGATAAGGTCAAGCGTACGCAGATCACGGAAGGAATGTGAAGCGAAAATTATACAAAGCACTGTTTATAAGACAAAAGTACTCTCTAGCTATATCAACAGTAGGTTAAACAATGAAGAAACAGTGGCAGTGTTCAAAGGTGAAAACGATGAAAGCACTACCGAAAATCCCGGTAAGGCAAAACAGCTTAGTCGGCTTTTCACGTATGTTTTCACTGATGGACTAAGCAGACTTCTATGCAGGGTGTAATGAGGCAATAATTGAAGACCCTAAAGTCTCAGAAGTAGATGTAAGGAAAGAAGTTCTCGCACTTAACCAAGCCAAGAGCTCGCTTCTGAACTCTCCAGACAGTCTTTGTATAAGTTTCAATTGTATTTAGATCCAAAAAATCTCTCATTTGGCTGGAAAGTAGCGAATATATGCGTCATTCACAAGGGTGAAGCCAAAACCAGCGCTT